CGATAAGCAAATGTACTAAGTGAATGGGGATAAACTGGTTTTTGGGTCTGTCTCCATTCCTCTCCATTCTCATGAATAAAGGCTTTTTCTAATTGTAAGGTTTATCTGGAGAAACTTTTCATCGTAAAGAAAGTGTATACTCGATATACATTATCTTCCTTAACCTGACCTGTGTACGAAACATTAAGACTGATAATCGACTACTCTGAGACTCTTAACCAACGATCCGAAAGAAGGTCTGATATCCTCCAAGACATAACTTTGTTCTCCAATGAGATTGGTGCTAGTTGTTAACTTACCTTGATCTGTAGCTCCTAGGAATAAATCTATCCATGTCTTAAATGCTTTTTGTCTTTAATGAGCCATAGCCATAGCTTTTGGTTAAATATAAAGAATGTGACCAGTACAGATATTGACAACTAGGTTGAAAAATCTGATCACAATGAGAAGAAAATTGAGAATATTTCTGTTCACCCTCTTTCAACCCGGTCCAATTTTATGTCACTGAAGACTTTGCTTGTGAGCCAGGAAGTCTGCACGAAAGTTCAAAATTTTCCCATTTGGAATGAAGTGAAAAGCATCTCCTGAATAGTCCTGTTTCTTACCATTTTTAATGACCATTCAGGTATTAGAGAGCAAGCAGATTTTTTGATACCAATAGAGGGTTACAACAGCAGCCCTCAGAGCATGATAAATGAGCTTGAAAATGGACTGAGAGATCCTAATTTCCTGTAATACCTGAGAATGGAACATTTATGCAGGAGTTGAATTTTTTTCAATCCATGATATTGGGACTTGAGAAATTAAGTTGGGAAGCTTATACATGGTTCTTATTGGGAAGGTCACCCATTTTTCAGTGTGTGAGTATTACTCATCTCACTCACCATTTTCTCTCCTGTTGCAACCCTGGAACCTCCAATTTTGTAATTTTTTTTATTACTTTAGATACTAGAATAACAATGCCCAAGTTTGAACAGTGTACACAAAGTTGCATTGGGTCATGATTGCTTTTGCTGCAAGAAGCAAGAGTAATGCAATTTTTTTTAGATTGTGTTAATGTGATGTTGCCCTCTTTGAGGAAACTTATTTTTGTTCTACCATGCATATTTTGTATAATTTTTTTTTGCAAACTGGCTTGAATTCCCTTAGTTTCAGGCTTGCAAATAGAGAGCCAAGTCATACTCAAGCAATTTTAGTAAGAATTTGAAAATAGAAAATTTGAAGAGGGGACCAATCACACTCCCTTATGAGTAGCCTTCATTTTAGGTCCTGATTTTATCTCAGTAATGATAGCATTTTTATTCATGGTTAGTTCTGGTCTCTTTCTTTCTCATGACTCATTTTTGCTGGAAATGGCCAAACTTTCCCAGAGTTGGGCCTTGCCCAGCTGATTTGGCAATGAATTCTAGGTACCAGTTGTTAGTATACCATAACTACTCGAACATAATAATTGAAACATTCATACAGACTTCCAAGCTCTTATCTCCACCTCAATGGGTGGCATCCAGAAAAGACTCCAGAGCAAAATCATTTGATTAAAATTGTGACTATAATTCTTCTGAGTTAAACTTTTCTTCCAAAATGATATAGCTAAAATATGATGTTCTTGGCATGTTTCTTTGATAGATGATAATGAAACTTCCCTTGAAAGTTAGGGCAAACTCATTTTTGTGTAGCTACTTAAACAAGCCTGATATAATCTCATTTCTTGTAATTGCATTTAATAATGGACAGATGGGACATTAAGGGACAGATGCAATAATTTTTCAAAGCTGTGTAGTTGGTGTATTCTGAGGCATGGACCATTGGTAGTGTGGATTAATTAAAGTGAAAATTTTGTGCATATTTTATATGTATAAGAAAAAATTCTCCAAGTTAAAACCATGTGTTTCAATTTAGTGCCACCCTCGATATAGTGCCAAAATCAGCCAAGATCAACAGTGTCGGTATATTGAGAGTTAACTATACATCCATGATGTATGAAGCCATTCAGGATATATGCTCCAGAGCAGGAGCTGCTACATTAGCACAGCATCTTGATCATTGTCATCTTCAGTAACTGTAAACATCCATGGATGGTTTGACCCTTAGAGCCTTATTTGCATATATAATCTGGCAAAAATATGGAATACCCATTGTTTATTAATGTAAAAGGAAAATGAAAAGATAATATACCCCCTAACACTTCCACTAAGGAAATCTGAAATGATTCTTCCTGTATTGCTGCTGTAACCACTTGCATTCGCAGAGATGTGTCCAATGAGAATTCAGTTCATCAAGAAATTTACCAAAAATTTTTCTATTGCTGTATCTATAGCTTCTCTACATGGTGTTAAAAAAAACTGTGCCAATTTATTTTTTATAGGAATTATAGTAAATTTTATGATTGACCCAATATTTCACAAGCTGCATGTGGATAGATGAAAGAAGGTTTTTGCCAGAATTGAAGGATATTGACTCAGTGTGCCATGTTCTACACCAATTAAAACTGGAGGTTAAGAAAATACACTGGACATCCTTGCTGATGCATCCTCCTCAGCTGTGCAGCAAGCCAGTGTCTGATAATATTAAAAGTAGCATTTCTTTCACATATGAGCTATATGTAATAGAAGGAATTGGACTGGACACATGCTTTGTAATTCTGACTATTAGCTGATGAGACTCTGAGAATTGGTTGCTAGGCTTTCTTCCAGACTAATCCTCCAAGACATAACTTTGTTCTCCAATGAGATTGGTGCTAGTTGTTAACTTACCTTGATCTGTAGCTCCTAGGAATAAATCTATCCATGTCTTAAATGCTTTTTGTCTTTAATGAGCCATAGCTTTTGGTTAAATATAAAGAATGTGACCAGTACAGATATTGACAACTAGGTTGAAAAATCTGATCACAATGAGAAGAAAATTGAGAATATATCTGTTCACCCTCTTTCAACCCGGTCCAATTTTATGTCGCTGAAGACTTTGCTTGTGAGCCAGGAAGTCTGCATGAAAGTTCAAAATTTTCCCATTTGGGATGAAGTGAAAAGCATCTCCTGATTAGTCCTGTTTCTTACCATTTTTAATGACCAGAGTTGGGCCTTGCCCAGCTGATTTGGCAATGAATTCTAGGTACCAGTTGTTAGTATACCATAACTACTCGAACATAATAATTGAAACATTCATACAGACTTCCAAGCTCTTAGCTCCACCTCAATGGGTGGCATCCAGAAAAGACTCCAGAGCAAAATCATTTGATTAAAATTGTGACTATAATTCTTCTGAGTTAAACTTTTCTTCCAAAGTGATATAGCTAAAATATGATGTTCTTGGCATGTTTCTTTGATAGATGATAATGAAACTTCCCTTGAAAGTTAGGGCAAACTCATTTTTGTGTAGCTACTTAAACAAGCCTGATATAATCTCATTTCTTTGATATAGCTAAAATATGATGTTCTTGGCATGTTTCTTTGATAGATGATAATGAAACTTCCCTTGAAAGTTAGGGCAAACTCATTTTTGTGTAGCTACTTAAACAAGCCTGATATAATCTCATTTCTACATCATACAGCTCCAGTTCTAGAGATCCATAGGTTTCTCATATCTTTCTTGTTCCTATTAGAAGTTTCTGGATCCAGTTGCCTCTAGCTTTGTCCATCAGTCTCTAACTGGAACCAGATGAATGCTAAAATGGTTCCAGTTGGAATTTTAGTAGTGACATACCAGCTGTCAACTCCTACCTTCTTCAGGTAGTGGAACATGTAAGTAACTTGCTGCTGCATATCAACTGCTGGTGTTGCCAGTCTTGCCCATTGGAATTAAGTTCCATCATCTGTAAGCAGATATAAGAGATTTCCTTTTTGAACAAACTTGGCACTTTTGAACCTAGCATTCAGAAACTTGGTTGCTTCATCCCTGGGAAATGTATACATTTTGTAGAAATATAGCAGAGTGGCAAGATTTACTAGCATTTTTCTGCTGCAAATTTGGCATGTGAGAAAGTGAGCAAAAATGAAACAAGGGGAAGGTGATTCCTGTCTGAACAAGGGCATGCTCGGTCCACTCATCAGGTGTATGTTGAGGGATCTATTGCTGAATGGAAGCCTTCATTGAGCGAGTAGGGAATGACAGGGATTCCCAGTCTGCCCATTTCTCCTGCTCATCATCTGGATGCATCTCTCTCTCTCGCTCTCTCGTGGAATCATGCGGTTAGCCATGCTCAAATGTATGATTCAATCGTTTCTTAACCACTTTTCCTCATAGTCCCCAAAAGGTATTGCTTGATTATCATTGTAATGAGATAAATTCTCCTGATACTCAAGAGAGTGTCATATCTCCACTGAGAGCTGTCAGTTCGTTGCTTGTGATGTGAGTGAGAGTGATGAACTAATGGATTTTGAAGTGATGTCTATATCAAATTGGTTCTTCTCTTCCAGGGTTGACAAGGCAGTTTGATAAGAGTGTGGAAGGAACACTAAACCACAATCCTCTATATATTTTTCTAGATATTGAGATTCAAATGATACAGACTGTTGCATACCAAGCAGTTGTGGTTTATGGTGTAGTCACTACTTTTCTTAATTCAGTTCTTTCCTGGATTACTGATTTAAAAAAATTGATGGATGTGCTCTCCATTGTCTCATGAATATGAAATTCTCTTTCAGCATGAGGCAGATGTGCAGGCCTAAGCCTGATTGTGTTTTGCAATTGTGAAATGTGCTATTTATCTTTTTCAGGTATTTTAAAATCTGGTTTTTATGCAAATTGTGTCTTATCAAGTAGGACTATACAGGGTTTAAATTTTCTTTTTCCAGGACCTTGTTTGTGGGAGGTTGTTTGAACCATGTAAAATTTACACATGTCTTCACTTCAACTTGAGTTTTCAAGAAAGTTGGCTCCAAGAAGAAAATTACTTCAGCAGATTCAGTTATGGTTCAGACAACCTAACACTTCAGATGTCTTTTTGAGTATTTTGATTTCACCTGACTCCTTTTTTCCCTTCTTCCTCTGCTCTGGACTAATAGATGAAGAAGGACTTCTTTGCCATGCTGCGCGAGTGCCAAGACATCGATCACCATTCCCACTGGTCGGATGTGAAGCGGAAGTTGGATGCAGATCCACGCTACTCTGCTGTGGAATCTTCTCTTCAACGTGAGGAGTGGTTCAGGGACCACATCTACATGCTGAAGGAGGAACGGAGTGTCCGGAAGAAGGAGAAGAAGGATAAGGAACGTGAGCATCGAGAGAAAGAGAGGGAGCATCGTGAGAAGGAACGGGATCGAGATGAAGAGAAAAAAGAACGAAAACACAAGCACAAGGACAAGGACCGGGATAAAGATAAAGATAGAGAAAGAGACAGGGACAGGGACAGGGATAGGGATAGGGATAGAGACAGGGACAGAGACAGGGACAGGGACAGGGATAGGGATAGAGACAGAGACAGGGGTAGAGACAAAGAAAGAGATAGAGAAAGAGACAGAGACAGAAGTAGGGACGAAGATCGAGATCGAAAGAAAGATGACGATCGGGAATGGGACCGAGAAAAGGACAGAGACAGAGTCAAGAAGGACCGAGAGAAAAGAGACAAGAATAGAGAGAAAGAGAAGGAGAAGGAAAAGGAGAAAGAGGAAGAGGAAGATGGGGAGAAGGAAAAGCATGAGGAAAAAGGTGAAGACATGGAAGTGGATGATAATGAGGAAGGTCAGGCCAACTCTGATGAAGAGGCCAGAGAAAGGGAGAAACAAGAACGCATTGAAGCTTCTCTTCGTGAAAGAGAGAAAGAGGTTTGTCTTGTGCTTGTTGCAGTATTTTACTTTTTCTCAGTTAGTCTTGGCAATGTGGCATTGGGCTGTAATTCAACTTGCAGTTAACAGCAACTTCCTATGCCCTATTGATTGAACAGTTTATGTAAACAGTTAAACATCCTCATTATATTTGGCTCATTGGTTTTATTTATACCTACTATAGGTCCAAGAGCAATTGGCCAATCACCTTAGGGATCGTGACAAGGAACGAGAAGCCCATCGGCATGATGAAGCAGTACAACATTTTCTTGCTCTATTGGCTGACTTGGTATGTGCTTGAATATTGATCCATGTCTTGTGTCATCTCACTTTTTTTTTGGCGTTACTCAAGTTGTCTTTGTTCAGATCCGCAACACAGATTTAACATGGAGAGAGGCAAAACGTCAGCTGAAGAAGGATCATCGTTGGGATATGGCTGACCTCCTTAGCAAAGATGAAAAGGAGAAACTTTATGATCAGCACATTGAGCAACTAACCAAGAGAAAGAGAGAAAAATTTAGGTTTGTCATAATTCTATATGATTAATTTAATGTTTAAAAGGTTTTGCAGGAACATCTCATTTTCATTTTAGGGAGCTTCTGGAGGAAACACCTGAAGTAACCCTAATGTCTTCATTCAAAGAAATCCGCCGCACCATCAAAGATGATCCTCGATATTCCAAATTTTCCTCCAGTGATAGAGTGAGTGGCATATGGAAAATTTGTTGCTGCATGTTTTTGTCGAGACTTCATATTTTTCTTGCTTCTGATTGAACAGAAATGTGAGAAGGAGTTCAAAGAGTACCTGAAAGACAAACTGGTTGCTGCCAAGGCAGACTTCAGAGAACTCCTCAAGGTCAGTGAAGCATAAAAATTATTAGCACCAGTAATGGATCCATCCCAAGCCATCCAAAAACAAGTGTTTTTGTCAAATCATTAAATTGAAGTTTAAAATGGATTTGCAATTTAATTTAGCTCATAGAATTTGGCAGTCATGCTTTGGATGATTCAGGTTTGATTTAGCCATTCTGTAATATGGTTTAATTTCCACCCACCTCTTCACAAATCTGATTCACTTCCTTAGCTTTTCATCTATCTAATTTGGACAACTATGGAGTTTTGGGAGAGGCATTGATTGTATGTTGTTTCTGAATTTTAAGTGATGAAGCGAATAGAAGGTCCACAGTTTGGTCATGTCCCAGGTGCGATGGGTTTGATGGGAAATTTTTGCATTTGTATTTGGACTCGATTTGAAGATTTAGTTTTGCTTAAGATTAGATTCAGATTTAGTATTCTCTGAGAAAGGTTTTGGATTCCTTTTATCAATTAAAATCAATTTGCTAATAAGATTTGAGGTTGCTCATAATATCCTCTGATATGCTCTTCATTCATTACTCTTCTGATAATCCTCTAATTTGAAATATGTGAATCATTCTTTGTTGACAGGAAACAAAGATCATAACTCACAAATCCCTAAAGTTGATAGAGGAAAATGATCAGCATATGAAGGAGATTCTTGATGTGCTGAAGAATGACAAGCGCTACCTGATTCTTGACTGCATCGAGGATCAGCGAGAGAAGATTATTCAGTCATACTTGGAAGATCTGGAAAAGCGAGGTCCTCCTCCACCACCAACTGCCACAGAGCCAGTGCGTCGCAAGTGATTTCCTTGATTTCTGCTCTCCCTCCTGTTTCATCTCCTGTTGATTCATGGTTGGGATTTCATCCAGCCAATGTAAACATTTCAATTTTTCTTGTTTGCTTGAATATTTGGGCATTCCTGTGACGATTTGCATGATGAATCTTCTCTGCTGATTGAAATTATTAGTTCTTTTAGGCACCATTATGTTGGTCGTAATCGTCACGTTTTGTTTCTTGTCGATGAGAATAAATGGTCTTGTTCTCGTATGCTGTTTCTTCCCTTCAACTGTTCCAGACCACCATTACCACTCCCAAGTGCTCTTCAAGCATTACTGGAATTTTCTGATTTGCTGTTCATTAACCTTTAAACGGGTACTGATATGTATGTACTCACACATCCATTGTGAATTTGCCCTATAGTTACCTGTCATCCACTCTCTCCACATTGCATGTTAAAAAAACTCACCTGTCAGAGAGTTGATGGAGAAGTTAAATTCTCTGAGGGAATAACTGGGAGCCATGAGCATCTACAAGGTGTCTCAGCAGCTTTGCAGGCAGCCTTTGGCTCCATTTTAGTAATATGCCACCATACACCATTGTTTGTCCCAGAAATTCATTTCTGTATGCTGCCTCATTTCTGGAAGTGTTACTGATGCACTCAAACTACGCCAAACACAATAGCGGAGAACGTATCGCTGTTCTGTTTAAAGGGAGTCCTCCACAATGGCGACACTTGCCACACCCTCACAAGAACACCAATGCTCAACTGTGCAGGCGGATCTCCTTGTACTCGCAGTTGGGCTTTGTTGGCCCCCTATTGTATCGTCAGTTCGTGAATTGAATGAGCCTTGTAGTAAATTTGCATTTGCTTACACACTAGAACTGGGTTCAACCTAATCTTAACTACTCAAAGAACCAAGAGAGTGTGACTTCCATAATGCTGCTCAGATTGTTAGACTGTTTTCCTGTCACTACTGTGCAATTAGAAAGAAGTTTTCCACAAGAGGCATTGATGTGAGCCATATGGTTCAAACACTTTCTGCTCATCAAATGGAGGAATTTGAATTAATCTTTGTCTCTCAGACCAAGCACACTTGCAAAATGATGTTACTATCTGATTGGAAAGAAAGTTCTCGGAATTTCATGAACAATTATTACAACCCAGTTTATTTAAAAGCAAAATCATCTCAATCATGAATGTAATCACCATTGGCCTCTATCACTTCACGCCAACGTTTATGCAAACTATGNGCAGAACATTCTAGCATGCTCTGGAAAAAAATTGTACTGGATATTCAAGAAATTCCGAGAACTTTCTTTCCAATCAGATACTTCAGAGGTTTTGACCGTATGTATGGTGGTGTATGAAATGTTGAATTCGGATAGGTACCTTCAAACGTGGAACAGCATGAGGCTGTGAATCATATGTCCTAAGACTAAGTTAATAGAAAATAATGGTTGGGCCATGCAGAAAATCTTAGATTTTGATGTAATCAAAGATGCAAGATTTGTCATTACTTTGTGATAGAGAAACAGAGATTGCTCCCATTCTGATGTCTTCTTTATGCCCTCTTTTGCTCCCATTCTGATGTCTTCTTTATGCCCTCTTTTGCTCCATTCTTCCTCCTAATCTATGTGTCACTTGAGTACTATTCAATTTGGGAGTGCTCTTCAAATGATTTAATAAAATTGAAATGTATGGGATGTATCACCAACAAAATCAATTACAGTCTTGATATGACCCTTCGTTTAATGCTGTCTTTCTTTGGCATCCAACCATATAGTGTTTATTTTGTATGATACAGACAGTAAAAAAGAAAATATCAGGACTTCTTATGGTTGATTTTCAGTGTTTAGCCAACTAATGAATGTGGAAGGATGTTGAAGAGAATATTGACCTGGGGCTCCGTTTTGGGCCTTGGAGCTGGGACTGTCCATGTCCTTCAACAGCATCATTGGCATTTGGACGACTTGGGTGCTGTCCGCTTTGGCCGAGCTGCTATCACGGTGTGTTTGTGATTTGACATGTGGTATCTCGTGTAAAAAGTGTCAGGTTTTGTCAATTGTCTCTCAAATTTTCATGTGAAAACCTGTAATCATGTTTTGGAATCTACCTCAGGGGGTGTGGCTGCTTAAAACATGAAATGTTCTATTCAATTGACCTTCAATAACACCTTAGCTGCCACATCCTATTTATGGCCCAGTGAATGCAAGAGCGTACAACCTACTGCTATCCCATATGGCATTTAACGTGTTGAAAAAAAAAGAAGCATTAATCATGGCGTGGAGGTACTACTTTTTCCTTATGTGTATTCTAAATCTAGCTGGATTATATTATCTTCCAGTAGAATACCAGCACAATTAATAAAATATTCTGAAGAGCATCTGGTTTCTTTCCTCTACTTATGTTTAGATTTATATAAATATATCAGCTAAATAATGGGTAAATTGTCATGGATGAGATCTGTATTCTGATAACTATTAATTGCCCTTTGGATCTTTGTTGCCAGTGTTTTTCTAATGGATGCGGCAGAATAAATTGCCAGGTCAGGATTCCGTTAATATATTGTCCATTTTTTGTCACTTAGACTAGAACTCTTTTTCTTTCAAAGATCCTCATTCAATTCTCTACAAAGCAATGTGTTTGGTTTTGCATATCCTTGCAGCATTTCTTCTTCAGATCATGAAAAGTAAGACTCCAAAACCTTTTTTTTTCTAAATGCAAAAATGGAAATAGTCAGACGAAAATCTTTTGAGATTTGAACAGTGCCCTGAGTCTTCGCACAATCGAACGATAGCGCAAGATGATCTCTGAAACGAGCTTCATCAAACTGTCAAGTCCCCCTGGATGTCCATGCACAGCTCGATCAAAGACAGCCATTCAGAAGGGCAAGAGTTGGTTGAAACAGAAGAAACACATATCTGCTTGAAAGTTGGCCAGTGAACTTGATATTTTGGAGCAGAGTGCTTGTCTAATGCTAAAAAATGATCTCCAGCTTCAGCTCTGCAAGAAGACCATCAAACCCACTCCTCACCAAGGATCACAAGGCCAAAAGGATTAAGTTTTGCCAATTTCTGAAAAGACGTCACAATGCATATCCTCTTTTTTGATGAGATATTCGATGTTGAGGTGTCTACAGCACCCAAAACAATTGATAATGGGCAGTGGACTGTGCCAAAGTCAATGAGAAGGGTGGCATTAAGCAAACACTGAAATTTCCTCAGAAGGCCATGGTCTGGCTCAGGGCCTGCTGGATGGATGTTGCACAGCTAGTCATCTACAAGAAAGGGTCAGTATATCATGCTAGATACATGTGAGAAGTGCTTCCAGTGACCCTGAAATGTGGCAATGAAGTTTTCACTGATCACTGGACCTTCCAACGAAGTGATACAAGGCTGCACTCTCATCAACTGTCCCAATAATGGTGTGGAGATAATTTAAACCCTTCTTTTTTATAGACAAGAACCATTGGCCACTAAACAGTCCTGATTTGAACCCCTTGGACTACTCAATCTGGGACAAACTGGTCCATGTCAAGTGGAATAATGTGATGTCAAAAGACAAACTGAAACAGGCTGTGAAGCGACTGTTGAAGTTGTGTTAGAAAGTTATTCTGCATGGACTGCTCAGTTAAGCACTCATGTGTCAAAAATAGAGGCAATTGTGTTGATAAAATCACATGATCTGTAAAGAATTGAATGAAGAATCTTTGAAAAAGAAAAGTTCATATCTAAGCGACAAAAATGGACTATATGAATGATGGATGATATGATATTAACTGAATACTGTCTCAGCCAATTATTCTACTGCTCCCAATATATGGAAATTGAGAAATTAGAAATCATGGTGGAAGTTAGTGTTAGTCCAGATGTTGGATTTTTTTAAGGTTCTGTATTTTTTTTCACACCTCTATATTGCCAAAAGTCCATGCACACATATCCAGTCGAGGATTGACAAGGTAAAACATCACTGTGGGACTCAGTAACCCCATGATTGGCAGCTAGTAAATGAAGACTGCCCACATTCGCAAACAGCAGTTACCAGTATGATGGCAGCTTGACAGTAGCTCACTGGGTTTTATTGGTAGTGGGGTGCCACATGGTAGGAAAATCTGGTCAAGCTACTGCAATATTTATGGACATTTCATGCAGCCCAAAGCATGTCAGAATGATGGAGGACTTGTAGATTGGCTAGTAATCTTCCCCGGTCAGGCAGGGTTCAGGCTCTCAAATGTGCTGAAGGGGCCCATCAAAAAATTAACATTAAGACAATGGACCTGGATTGCATGTTCATGGGTGAGCCTTGACTTTTGGCAATGCAAAATATTAATATATATGGATGCTCTAGACAGATTTTGTCTGATTTTGCAAGTCACTACTGTGCAGCACTGGTGTAGTGTTTGAAATGTATCATATCATTTTGTATATAAATGTAATTTTATTTAAATATTTTTTTCAGTTTTCACTTTTATATAGAACGTTATAGATCAGGAGTGTCCAAAGTGGATGTTCACTGATGCACTTTGTTTCATGCAGCCCATGAGCTGCACTTTAAGCTCACCTGTTATAGACAAATCTCAAAATCGTATATTTTTGAAATTCTATTTAAATACAAAGAATTTCATTTTAAAAATCATATGAACAGAGATGAGCAATTCCCTTTTTTTTCCAATTTTCTTGGTATAATGTATTTTTTGTAAATCGATTAGTATGATAGTCTACTTGAGCTTGTTGCAACTGCTGGCTGATTCCCAAGTTCCTTCTCTAACAGAATCTCCTCATGAAAATGAGTCAGTTCATGATTGTGATGTCTTATAAATATGGATCTTAAGATATCTGGCTGGAGGATGAGCAGAGAACCACTTTAAAATGTGTACAATGTTATTTTCATGATTAGATCTGCTGACCAAGGAAAACATTATTTATTGAGTATTTCAAATACTATTTTATCTTTCCTCACTTGTATTGTGTTCTGGGTTTTATTTTCTGTTTTGTTTTTCCTATTTTGTTGCTATTTATATTTTACTTTTATTTATTTCCCTGCTTGTCCTTATGCATATATTTTGATGCCATATATGAAACATTTTAGTACCAGTATTTTGTCTTTCTTCTTCAGACTACATACAGCAGACTCTGCCTGCAAAAAAGAAGTTTATACTTGCAATATTTCACATTCTCCCCAGTAGTTCTTCCCTAGATGTAACTATGGCAGTTTAACCTTGGTAGATTGATCATAAAATAATACAAACAACTCAATTTCATAAGTTTAGTGCAATATTTTTATTCAACATGACCAACAATGTAGCTGAATTATGGGTGGTGCCCTCTTTTAACCTCCAAAAAGGAATTCACTAGTCTTGGCATATAGTCAACTAATGACTACAATCAGTCAATTGGAACACCCCATTCTAGGTATCACTTCAAGGAGCTTATCCTTTATTCTAATTGTGCTTCTTGGTCACTCTTTCACCACTAAGGACATTGCAGACATGCTTGAATTGATTCATATCTTCACCCTATTTTGCCTAGGGTTGGACATCATTGCCGACCTCCATTTTGGCCCTGGACTACCTGGAATTGCACACTGGAATAAAAGCATGCTGAAAAGTGGCTTCAGCAACTTCAGGAAAGAGTTATTGCATATTAGGAAAGACATGTTCTCTGATCAGCAGATAATATTGCTCTATTTTCACATCTTCTTTGCCCTATATGGACAACAGACACTTTAGTTGGTAATTATTCCCCACCACGAAGACTGACAATGTTCTTCCAACTATATTCTTGAAATCACTCCATAGGGCATCTCCAAACCTGCCCTTGCCAATCAAAAACCAAGAACTGTGGCCTGTCACTGGAAGCAACTCGTATATGGGTGTGCTTCATCCCAGTCAGCATACCTTCATGCCCAATCCAGCTTCTACTTCATGTTCATCACATTCAAGTTTGCTGCCTACTCTGGATCTCCTAAAGAATAGGTCCTTCAGGTACCATCTGAAGAATAGGCTGGAGTACCCACATAGGGTTTGTTGATGGAGATGAAGTGCAAAAGAGAAGAGCTTCTTTCAGTGATGAGCTACACTTCTGCTTAGTTTCTGATCAGCAAGAATAGTTTTAGAGATGCCCTGTGGAATCATTTTACAAATACAGCAGGAAGAGGATTGTCAACTTTGGAGGTAGGGGTGATATGATGTGGGGGGGATGATCGCTAGCCAAAGCCTCTGATATTTGATTTGGTGCAAGGAAGATGTGAAAAACAGGTCTATGTTATCTACTGACTGCATGTCTTTCCCAACATGCAACAACTCTTCCCCAATATTGCAGAAGCAACTTTTCAGCATAATTTAATTCCAGCATACAATTCCAGGGCCAAAATGGAGGAGGTTGGCATCGATGTTCAACCCTAGGCAAAGTGTGGTAAAGATATGAATCTATTCAAGCATGTCTGAGTTCTTATTGGTGAAAGAGTAACCAAGAAGCAGTATTAGAAAGAAGAAAGAGCTTCTTGAAGTGATACCTAGAATGTTATTCTAATTGACTGATTACAGTTATTGGTTGACTGTATGCCAAGACTTGAATCCATTTTTAGTCATGTTGAAATGAAAATATTGCAGTTACCTTCTGAAATTGAGTTGTTTGTATTATCGATCAAGCTACTAAGGTTAAACTGCTATAATGACAGCTAAGGAGGAATTACTGGGGAGAATGTGAAATAATGCCAGCAGAAACTTTTTGTTTTGCCATTAGTATGCTAAAAATTGGCACTGAAAATCATTAGGATAGAATTGGTTAAGTTTATTGTATCCTCACTGCATTCAGGGTGCAATTCCTGTTGCCTCACATGTCTGAGATTTTCAGTGTGGGTTAGTGGTCATTCATAATTTGAGTAATTAATTGAACAACCCCTAATTACTGGAATAAAATTTTACACCCAAGAAACCTGATTTTCTTCAGTAGATAGTGATTTTCTTAATATGAATGTTTTTGGGGATGAATAGGTAAAGAATATATATTTTTATATCTCTCATATTTACAGCATCTGATACTTCTCATTTCCATTTCTTCCTTCAATTTTCCTTGCCAAGTATGGTATGTGTGGGTCTTCCTTAATTGTAATAATGATTAGATGAAAATGTCAGCCCTTTGAGAGTTGGTGAAATTGGTAGGCCAATAGTGAGCCAGTTAATCTTTATCAATGTATACTATTAATAAAAATAAATTATTGGTGCAATGATATATCATGGTTTTTCCCAAATCTTGCTAAATTTGCATTACTTCAACAGGTTGCTAGCATCGTGATAGATTACAAGAAAACCATTTATGCCCCTGGTGTGGATTACAATGCTCCAACATATCCACTCCTCAGGTCTCAGGTATGCATCCATCTACAGGGTGGCCCAAAGAAAAAAAGGAGGCCCTACTTTCATATGTGATTATAATGAATGTAAATAACAGCTGTAAAAAAAAAAATGCTGTTTTGAGTGATATATAATTCCTCATTATTTCATCAATACAAATATTCTATATGCCCTCATTTCTATTCACTGTTGTGTTGCAATAGTACACATCACTGTCAAATTGTGCATCATAATGAGCAGAAGAGCATATCATGCCAAGAATTGACTATTGCTCTATACAAATATTCAATGCTCTAGATTTTGTTTGATTAAATTTTTCTTGCAACATACCCATGAAAAGTAAATAACTGGGTCTACATTCTTTTTTCAAAACTGTTTTCATATGTTTTGCGAGACGTTCATGAAATATCAGGAGCAAACTTTGTCTTCCAAGAAGATGGTTTGCATGCTAGGATTTGTTGACTTCCAAAGTGTAGAGGTTCTTGAACTTCACATGTGGCTACCCAATAGCCCCACTTTGTATGGGGTATATTGCAAGAAATGTTCTATCTAGACAAAACCAGGTGAATTGGACATTCAAACTGCAATAGCCAATAACAGGCAAGCTATACCCCTTGACTTGTTGCATCATGCAATGGGACATTGACACTCATTTTCCAGTCACCATCAAATAGAATTAAGGAAATATTGAGTTTCAATATGAAGAAAATAAATTGAAATCGTATTTCTTTCAGAAGAATGTTTTTGAATCATGCATGTTTTTGTAACTGCTTTGTGTTAGAATTGCAAAAACAGATAGGAGCTTCTTTTTTTGAGACCACCCAGTAGGAGTGCTCCATACCACTGTATCTTGCTTCTACACTTATCCTTGAAGTGATTCATTGCTTGTTGTTTCTTGCAGGTTCATACCAGATCAGCTGAGAAGCTTCTTGAGCTATGTTGCCTCAACCGTGGTGTATTCATAAAAGTAGGCCAGCACATTGGAGCACTTGATTATCTGTTACCATGTGAGTATGTCCAGACATTGAGCATCCTCCATTCCCGTGCACCTAAATCTGAGCTTCCTGATATCTTCCAAGTGATAAAAGAAGAATTTGGTCGAGATGTAAGTTCTTCTATCAGAAGTGCTTCAGACTTAACATTTTTCTTGATGAATTTATGTGAGGAGTGTTGAATGATTCTTCCAGCCAACTGACATCTTTGTGGAGTTCTCGGAAGGCCCTGTTGGAGCAGCATCCTTGGCTCAAGTGCATCGTGCAAGACTCAGGAAAACTAATGAGGAGGTGGCTGTCAAAGTCCAGCATCCAAATGTGAAAGCCCATGCACTAGTGGACATCAAAACAATGGAGGTATGTGGTAAGTGATTCTCCCATAGGACATTGTGGTTCCCTCCAGGATCTTGAATATGTTCATTCTTGGTGGTGATAAAACAGTAAGACACCTTACCTTTGTTTTTTTAGGTACTTGCCCACCTTGTTGCATGGATATTCCCTGACTTCAAGCTCCTTTGGCTGGTTGAAGAAACCAAGAAGAATATTCCACTGGAACTGGATTTTCTCCATGAGGCCTCTAATATGGTCCAAGCTCAGAAACTCTTCTCCAAATTTCATTGGCTCAAGGTTGTACTATTTATCTGCTTTCATCATTTGAATTGATTTTCTTCAAATTTATGTCATAAGCCATATTTTTAATGGCAGATTCCAAATGTGAAACCTCGCCTAACTACCGAGAGAGTGCTGACAATGGAATTTGTTCACGGTGGTGAGATAAAAGACAGAGGATACATGCACCGCAAGGGCATCTCCCGTCATGAAGTATCTGACAAGTTGGGTCAGCTGTATTCAGAAATGATCTTTGTCCAGGGGCTGGTACACTGTGATCCTCATCCTGGAAACATAATGGTGGCCAAGCATGAGGGAGGGGCCCAGATTATCTTACTTGATCATGGCCTTTACTCTACCCTGAGCAAAGAATTCCGATTGAATTACTCCCAGTTGTGGATGAGCATTCTTTCCCGAGATCTGGAAGGTATTAAGACATATGCCACAGCATTGGGTGTGGGGAATTTCTATGGTCTTTTCTCCTGCATGGTCACTGGACGTTCTTGGGCATCCATTCAATCTGGGATTGATCGTACCAACATCTCTGCTGAGGAGGTTTGTGCAAGAAAAATCATTCCTTTTCAATTTTTTTAGGAGGCTTTTTATGAACACATTCTCCCTTTCACCCTCACAGAAGAAGCACCTACAGGAGACTGCACGTCTTCTCATCCCCCAAATCACTGATGTTCTCAGTTCTGTCCATCGAGACATGGTGCTCATCTTCAAAACTAATGACCTCCTTCGAGGGATTGAATTTTCCCTTGGTACTCATGCAAGGTTAGCATCATAGGCCCTTTGTGTGTCAGCCAAAAGTACATAAGAGCAAATTTGTAGCTTTATTTTCAAATGGTGGAGTATTACAATGCTTGTAACTGTTTTGTTGTTCGCAGTTTGAGGTCCTTCTTGTCCATGTCGGAGTGTTGCATCCGAGCTGTGTGGGCAGAGAAACTCCTGGCCTGCAACTCCACTTGGTGTCATTTTGTCACCCTCATGGGACTTCAGTGGCAAATATTCAAGTTGTCTCTATATAAAGTTTCCTTATCCCTCCAAAACTTTTTCTCATGGCTTCTTGGCAGGTGACCCTCTGTAATTTAGTATAGCCCATTTGTCCATGGGATATTACTCCTACTGTATATGCACTATATCAGTAATAATCTCTTGTTTCTTGATTGTTCTTGGAATTCATTCATGAAAGGACACAAGGATTCAGAGTTCTTGTTTACATTTTATGTTAATATCCATGTTTGTCTGTTCATAGAGAAACACTGAATCTCTCAAAATACATGTCCACTTATGACAACTTGAACACAAAACTATGAACAAACTAAGCTCCGCAGCTTAGTCAAACTTGGGAAATAACAACTCCTCATGGGGAGAACATGACATGAAAGAAACACATGCCTGATGGGGGAGGGGCTGCTAATGTGGCATCATTTGCATACGCAGTAGTGCAGCTATTGCGTGGGCATATAAAGTTAATCAGGTAACGGATTGACTCATAATCCATGGCTCTAAGGGACTCCGGCTTCCCGAAAACACTGTGGAACGTCATAAACTGCAACACAGTGCTTTGTGATTCAAAGGAGTAATTTTTCTAGCGTAATTTCCTAGTCATTAAAAAGCTTCATCTGTTGCGTTTAGTGGGTATGCACCTTCTTCGCAAGAATTTCTGATGATACATCATTCTGCCAGAAATTCTCGCTCACTGCCATTTCATAGTGACTGAAGTTTATCGAACGGATATGCTTTGGACTAACTTCTTGACGCTCAGAAAAGGGAAATTAAGATTGTGGACATGAAATTCCAGTCCTGCGAAATCCAATCTTCGCCACCACCTGCTGTGCAGTCCTCGAATGAAAGCTATTCTGATGGGTTTTTTTCCTCATGAGTCATGATGCACTGCTTAGCACATTCGATGGCAAGGAAGTAGGGAGCTAATGATGAATTGCAGATAATATTATGGTATCACTTTACGTTGAGATTCAATATTCTCAGGCAATGTTGCTCAATTACTTGTTCAGAAGAGCTAAATGCATTCCCAAATGCCATTAGAAACAAGTATTTGGGTAAAGTTAAAAAATTGCATAACCCCGAGTAATATTGGAGTTCTGTTCTAATACTACAAAATACAATATGTAAATCTTCAATCTGAAGGTCTCAATCCAGCTCGCTTCCACCGGCAGACAGAAGCTCCTTCCGTTTCTGTTGCTCTTTCAACTATTTTTTTTCCTTCGTTCATAGCGAGCTGGAGTAAGAGCCCCCCCCCCCTTTGAGCATTTAAAATGTTCATGTTCTGTGTCCAGAGTCCAGCTATGACCCAAACTCGACTCGTATTTCCAGCACGCCCTTGTGAAGATCGGGAACTTCATAGATTTAACTCTCATTCAGAAAAAAGAAATGGACGGCACAGGGCTCTTGCTTCCACGTCTCATCGTCTTTGAGTCTCATGCACAAGCTTAGGAACTTTCTGGAAAGAGAGGGGGTGCGGTGGGTCCACGAATGCTTACTTACGAGTCAATCCATGTCAAATGATTCAAGTTTCAGGTGGTTGGCTGCACGACGGACTAGAATTTTCGCTGAAAAAAACGCGTAGCTATTGAGGAGTGTGAGAAATTAGTAAGTCCGCAAAGTCGAATATGAATCAATGGTCTCCGAGGATGCTCCCCTTAATTTTTTTTTTGGGAAGGGGGGGGGCAGGGGAATGAAGGGAAAATTACGCCTCAGACAATAGCATGGTCTCCTAAACTACTCTAGTTGGAAAGTCGCTTAATATTTCATTTTTTAACTATGAGACGATTTTAGCCTATTTGATCTTCTTTTCTGTGTCTCAAGAAGGGAGTAGGTTGAAATTTTTTTTATTTCAGACAAATATTTATGAATTAAGAAGGCCTTAAAAGAAGGCACGGGAGCCCAGTCGGAGAATTTCGAGAACCGAAACGTATCGACTTACAGGATGAGTCCAGATTCCAGCCGTGCGATAAACGTGAATACTTTCTCGTTTTTGCGATCTGAGTCTCCTTGGTCCGGTTTTTGCTCGCCTTCCTCCATCTTCGCACAAACACATCCTTACATGCAGAAAATATGTGCGGTTTAAAGACTGTTCGCGATAATTCCGATTACCGTATGACGAGATGGCGATGTTCCTTCCCAGAGACTCGTCGGCATTCACCTGTCTAGGTTCTCCAAATCGAGAGGAAAAACTCGCGTGTGACGCCGACTTAAAGGCAGGCAGAAAAGAGCTAGTTTTTCTCTCGACAATGGTTTGCCTCGCTCCGGTCTTTGGATTCTTCGCCTCAAATTCTGTGAAGTCAAGTTCGCGATATCCCGAAGTGAAACGATGTAAGATGCTCTGAATCGAATTCCACTTCCAACCCAAACATTTTTTTCCGAATTGGGCTCATGTCAGAAATGAAATGTTTGTTCCAGAAAAATGTTCAAATGTTTTTTTTCGCCGAATTGTGCTCCAGTGATTTTCACTCGACTTGGACACTCATGTTCGAGGAACACCTGATGCATGAGCGTGTGACTGAACAGGGAAAACCAGTAGGATTTTGAAACTCACCGAGAACCGAATTGAAACCGAACTGGAAGCCGTAAATTTCCCCCGAAATGAACTAAGTCGAAATATCCTCGAACCCGAAGTGAGCCAAGCCCTCGAGATCTCGTCCGACGTTCCCATGGTGAATTTGCTTCGGAAAACTTAAAAAAAGGAAACCTCATGTATCTCATACCTAAAAAAAAAGTACCTCATTGCAGCAAAAACTTCGCGGTCCGGTTCCAGTCAGCATTGCTGAAGAAACGCAACGGCGCAACCCCTTCGCGAGACGCGGTTCATTACTGCCAAAAACGTCCTCGAAGAAAGTCTTTCTATGGTACTCAACAGTTTGATGAGGCTCTCGCATCCGCGATTCCAGGCCGATGGCGCTAGGGATCCATCCCTCCCAGCGACGAACATCCTTCTGAGTGCCGACTTCAGGATTTTTTAACAAGCTTCTCGATAGAATGGTGAATGACGGTCCTTTTTTTAAAATTAAAACTGGATGCCTCTAAAGGGCATATTGCATGAATGTCAACGGAAAACTCCTGGATATACAGTGTCCTCACGAATGGACGTAGCATGGTCGTGCAAGAGATTCTTTGTCTGCCGGTTTCCCTCCGACCGAGAAAATCCATCTCGGGGCATTTAGCCCCACCCTACCAGTAATAATTGTTGATGTGAACTCTGACTTCCCCATCAATTTCGGCTCGGCCTTTTATCAAAAACGATTACGCATTTTGATTTTATTTCTCGCCGTCCTTTATCTCCTGTTTATTTCGTTCGCTGGAGTAGGTATATATCCCATTAGGAGTGACACGTCAAGTTTTCCGCCCAGCTTGAAATCCCGGTTGGAAACGGCTATAATTTCCAGCTGGACCCCAGCTGGAAAAGAAAGTCAGATCCAGATTGGTTCCTAGTTGCAATACCACCGGTGGAATATAAATTTATTTTTTGGCTATTCTTGCTGGGAGTCCATCTACAGGTGCAGCTGAATTTCAACTGAAAATTCAGCTGTATTCCAGATTGAGGACCCTCTGTATGAAATTCGAAGTGGAAATTTCCAGCTGGAAACAGCCATTAAAACCGGCTTGAACCTGTTTGAAAATTCCAGCTGGAAAACGACCTGCATCTACCATGCAGCTCTTTGCCTGCTGAAAATGGTCAGAATTTACAGCTTTAGTCCAACTGGAAAATTTCTACTGGGATTTCAAACTGGGCGGCCCCATATTCTTTATTCTCAAAAAACATCATGTAGCCTATGCACTGAAATTTTGCCATTGAAATTTAAGATGGGAAACTTAAAACTTCCTATAAAATTTAGTATTGCCAAAAGTGCAGACATCGCACGATGCTGAGGGCCCTGAAGTCAAGTTCTGGACAAACGAGGTCGAGGCGAAGACGAAGTCGAGCACGCCCCTCGTGACGTCATCGCCCGGCCGATTGCGGCCAGGAGTCATCACCCAGTCCGAGCTCGCATCTCCTCGTGTGCGGAAGGGAGAGACAGTCGGCGTCAAAAATTTAGCGGAGGGAACAACGTTTGGCGTGCTCGAGCCATTTCGATAGTTTACTGGCCAGGCTTGAAAGAACCCGGATATCATGTACTTTCGCAAGAGGAAATGCAAAACCTTAGAATGAAATTTCCACTGAGAAAACACCTTTTTTTCCAAGCGTCGGCGCTTTGATCGTAAAATTATTTTAAACAGTTCCAGTCTGAAGTACCATGTGCCTGTTGTCAATCGGGACGTGTTCCTTTCGAAGGGCTATTTTCGTGCGCTGCTTTTGCCGACGCGAATATGCTTAATTGATCGCGAATGTGTTTAATTATTTTCGAATGAAACCCGCAGGGCAGGCATCCTGAGGTTTTAGAGTTTCTTTTGCTCATAATTCATGTTGCATCTCTACGTTCTGTCTGGTTCGGCGGTCCTCGAAATTCCCGGCGAGGACAACATAGATTCTTTTCGTCGACTCGGAAGAAGCCAACATTTCGAAAAATGAATCGCTAACCTCTGCATGAGACTAGTTGGGCCCCGCATAAATACCGCCGCTCCATCTGAGACGGTATCGAGACTCGAACTTGTTTGTTCCATTTTCGAATGTGCTCCATCCTCGCGAATCATTCTTAAGTCTTGGAGTCTCAATCAGTCTTGGAATCTCAATCAGTCTTGGAGTTTCATCGATGGAGATGGGAAAAAAGTCCATTGGCTACTGTGAAAACCTTTTTAGTGGTATCCCCGCGCATGAATTACTACACGCCTGAACAGCGCACGTCGGTTCATTTACGTGTGGCCATGTTATTTACGTACCTTTCCAGCATGCATTTTATTCTCGGATGGCAGGGCTAATGTTATTAACATGTGCTTGGAACAGCCATATTTGCCGTTTTGGTTTTCTCGCAGTGGCCACTTTCTCTAGCGCACGCCGAAAATCCTGCGAAATTTTGTGATTTTGTTAAGCTTTTGCACGTTCCGTTCTTCTCTTCCACACTAGGTATTGTTTTATCAAGTCGTTGCATTCGTTTTCGAGTCCGTCGTAAACGACTGATGCATAAATGTGCCGAGATTGGCAACATCTGACCCGACTTCACCTTCGACCCAGGCCCTCGGAAACGAAAGGCCTGGGGCACTCGAGGTTTGCGGTACAAGGTACTGATAGAATATATGATAAAGGTATCACCGGACCAGATACGAATGACGAAGCTCCATTACGAAAAAAAGCAAGGTGGAAGCGAAGAATTTGCCTTGAGTGCCGACATTCGCATGCCTTCTCGTAATCGAATCCTGG